CAAGACGGACGTACAACGAATATATATAATAAAAAAAAAAAACACACGAAAGTGCAGCAGGGGAGGGGGCCCCTCTTATGCGGGACCCGCGACATCTGCTGGAATCACGAAGGATTCAAGCCTCCTATCCAGGCTTCCTTTTCTAACGACAGCCGTCAGCCTTAGTCTCAACAGAAGTTATTTGAAAGAAGGAAGAATTAATTAACGTTTCAGCCCGGAAAATGACCACACAATCATAAAAAAAGCAATAACCCAGCAAACACAAAGTAACAGCAATATAACAGTAATATTTTGTTCAATTTGTGTTTGTTGAGTTATTAGTTTTTTTATGATCGCATTCTTTTTTATGATTGTGTGATCATTTGTCAGGCAAAAATGCCTAAGGATTACCTAAAGAATAATAATGAAGATTTCGCCAGGGAGAGAAGCAAAACAATCAAATTATTACTTTCCATATGACAATGACATAAGATACAGTGAAATTCGCATTAGTTTCGTGAAGCATGATAGGAAAACTTAATCGAAATGCTACGATATGCCTTCAGGGGATGAATCGGAACTGAAATTGGAAGCCCGACGTAGGTGTATATAATCCAGATTAAACGAATTGAAATGTAATTTACGCCACCGCAATGCATGGTTAGCACCGTGGTCACTTGTTCACAATACTAATTTATTTTTTTATTGTTGTTCCTATTTTTTCGTCACTAGTTTTTATCAATGTGGACATTCAGCATGATAAGGATGGTTCTATTATTATATTGTTATATTTCGTACGGGATCTCCATTTACTTATGTTTCGTCCAGCTGCACACAAAATTGCGCACATTTCCGCTGTTCTTAAATTCTTAAAATTTTTAATAAGTACCGTTATCTTTCGTTTATTAAACGCAAGAGATTGAATTATTATAGATAGTTATATAATATGCAGTCAATTGCTGTTTTTGAAAATCGAGAATATATTTTCAGTTTTATCATTGAATATATTAAATTCTGCACTGATATTTTTTCTCATATCGCGAAGATGAGTTAACAAATTTTTGACAAATTATTATTTCAGAAAAAATATATTTATTAGAAAAACATTTACATTTGTAGGATATTTTTCTATATGTATAGTCACTTATATATGTTGCTTTTCAACACACTTTCTGTAACGGAAATTTTTAGACTTCTTATAGAAAAAATTTTTTTCTCGATAAATAATTTAATATGTATCACAGTTCTCACTTTATTGTTATTAAGAAATTTTCCCCCCTTAGTCGTTTATAATTGACAAGAACCCTTGACAATCTGACAATCCGTGAGCAGCGGGATTATACAGGGGATGAAGTATGAAATTTGTAATTTATTTTTAATCGTTTCTTGTATTAGCTAGGGTGTGCGTTATCATGAAAGAGTAAAGATACTTAAGATAAGAAATGTTTGTTTTGTTCAAATCCTGAGTTGTAATTATATTTTATGCTTGATCAGATATACGCCTATCATTTGAAGTGAGAATACACACGTTAAAAATATTGGACATGACATTGATTCAACTATTAATCATACGATGGGTATAATTACAATTACATTTTAATTCAACATTTATAGACTAGATAATTGGATTGGATAGATAATTATATACCTGGAAATTACCTCGAAAATCCCTGCAATTTGCAATATATTATAACACGGTGAACTATATCAAAGGCCTTTACAAACTGGTATAGATAGTCTTTACTTTGAAGCCTATTTCCTGATGATAGAAAGTTGTAATAACTCATTAAATTAATAATGATTGAGTGACGCAAATTGACATAAATTGTTGAATTTGTCAAACACAAATTTATGCATAATTATGTTTTCAAAAATTTCAAAAACATAATATGTTGCTTATTAATACATATTTGCTGTTAGTGTAAACAAATTGAAAATAGCAAAGCAGTTTGTGATATCGAAATGATATCTTTTAATATCATGAAAAATATAAGAAAAATTGAGATATTTTGTTGATAAATTTTTTACAAATATTGAAAATACGCGAACATTTTGCAAAAATTAAAAAATAGCTCTTCAAAATAATTCTAATTCACTTTAGTAACAATCGATCATCATTAGGCGACATTTACATTGTAAGAGAATTAACACAAAAGCGTTAACTGTACTGTCAAAATTCAGCGTTTAATACGCAATGTCGTAATGTACCAATACGTTGTCCATACTAATATGTAGGATGCTTCTCGATTCGATGCGATGTGCGTCAGGACTCATTCTGTTCTGACAATGAGAGCTTTATCCTCTTAACATCATTTATTTACCTCGTGCCACGCACTCTCATACTCGTACGCATATATTATACATATTTAATGACGCTCGTATTTACGTGATTAGCTATTACAAACATAAGGAGAATTGAACAATCTCGACAATCAACGCTGATAGACAACATGATATTAATGCCGTGATCTCAGTTTTTACCTATTTTTTACTCCTAATTTTTACTTAATTTTTGTGTAATTGTGTTTTCAATCGAGGCAAATTTAGCATGCGATTATTTATCTTATCTATTATAATCGACGTTTATTATGAGATTTTTTATTCATATTCTTTTATTTATAACCTCTTGTTTTTATTTGAATTTTATATTTATTCCTTATCGATTAACATAGAAACGTTTCATCCATATGAAATCATGATTGCTCTCTCTTACTCATTTTTTTGCTTTAGATTTATATCACCTTAATTCTTCGTCTACTAGACGGGTCCAATGAATCCGACTGTATTTTTATTGTTATTATTTTGGTTTATATGTGAATAAAATAACTTGTAACTTCTTGACTTTTTGACTAAAATGAGGTTTTCTTATTATATTTTTCTGCTTTACAACTTTTTTTTCTCATATGGATCCAATGTACCCAACTGGTAGTTCTCGTATACATGTTTTTTTTATAGATCGACGATTTTAAAGCTTGGGGCTGTAAACATTCTAAACAGCTATTCGCTTTTTTTTTGAAAGTTTTCATGCCTCGAAAATAGTATTCTAAAATTTATATATATTAATAACTGATAAAAAAGTATAATCATAATTTTCAACATAAATTTTAATCCCGTTTTTCTCAAAGTTGCAGTTTTCGAAACGACGGATAAATTTTGCATAATAGTTAAAATATTTGTTAATTTAATTATTTAAAATCTGATGTCATATTCTTAGACATTCTTTATCTGGTCATAACGATTTTTTATATATAATATATTTTCTGCTATATCAACAAATTTTAAAATTTTCCTATGTGAACAAACCTGCGAAATATAATTGTGAGAAATAAGGAAAAAATTTGATTTTTAAAATTTTAGATTACTGCTCATACAACGTAAAATCTAAAATTATAAGTAGATTATTATTGTTATAAATTACTATTATGTAATGCCTTAGATCGTTTTAATTAGCTTTCTTCTCGGCTACGGCGACAAGAAATTCTCATTATCCCGTCAAATACATTCACGTTATTGTTGTTCTAGGACTTTAAATGAAAATACTTTGAAGGAATGGGGTGTGGCGCCATTGCCAGAATATTTGGACCCTTATCACAAGAGGTGAGAATGCGAATTTTAATTAATCAGATTTAAAGTTAAGAAAAGATTTCAGAGTGACAAGATTGATAAAATTTATAATCTGGAAGATCCACTTTAAATATAGAAATTATCTCCAAAATATTCTCTCATCTGCTCTGAATTTTTCATAATCTGAATGATTAATCTTTTTTTTTTTTGCATAGGCCGATGACAATGGGCGAGATTGGCTGTTTTCTCAGTCATTACGTTGTATGGCAGAAGGTAATGAGATATTCTTGGATATATATACTCTCTGATTACTTATGAAACAAATATTAGGTGCTGGAACGTGGTTACGAAAGGGTCATGGTGCTGGAGGACGACGTTCGTTTCGAGCCATTCTTTCGACAGAAAGTCAATTACATTTTAGCGGAGCTGTTTGATCTTGGAACTCAGTGGGACTTGGTGTAAGTTTTCGCGAGCAAACTTTATTTTCTAATAATTCCGTGGCGCCAATCTCTTATTTAATTGTCTCTCAATCAATTCTCCATGATTGTGATTGATATTTACTAATTTACGGCACATAACGCATAAACTTTTTATGCGCGCGCGCGATTATTAGAAGAGAAGGTAAAGAAATAAAAATGAAAATTTTGCAGCTCAAAAAAGCTATTATCAATCATTTGAAGTAAGGAAGCCGAGCTTAGCAATTTGTGGATTCTTTAAATTACAGTGAATGAAACGAATTGCAATGTAAATTATTTATAATGCAAGCAGAGAAAACAAATGTACTTGACCAAGTAAGCCCGAGAAAAGTTGACACGACATCGGGTTTAAAAAAAAAACTTGCTATGACTATGATTAATGGTGTTGCATTTCTATTATGTTCCACGTATTTAGATACATAGGAAGAAAACGCTTGGTGAAATCGGAGAAACCAATCGAAGATTCCAAAGTTTTGGTTCATGCAGGGTACAGTTATTGGACATTAGGTTACATTTTATCAGAAAGCGGGGCAAAGAAACTAGTTGATGCTAAGCCTCTCGGAAAATTAATTCCAGTCGACGAGTATCTCCCCATTCTTGCGAATACACATCCGGAGTAAGTAAAGTGATTGACGTAAATAATTAATATTTATGATTGAATTAGAAAGATTGAAAAGTTTTCGAAAATTTTCGAGAGTGGAATAAATCACGCAACTACGGGGTTAAACATTTTATGTATTGATCGTGTTGCACGACTACGATTGGAATTTTTATATTTTTATAACATGTCAATTGGACAGGCAGCAATGGGTGGCGCAGTTTCCTACTCGGGATTTGATTATGCTATCGGCAGATCCACTTCTGATTTATCCGACGCATTACACCGGCGAGGACGGGCACATCAGCGATACGGAAGACTCGAAGCTCGTGCAAAACACTTCTGCATTTACGGAGTTGGAAAATCGAGAGGAACTATAATTATTGAAAAGCTATAAGATACAAAGGATTAGGGATTATCTAGTCGTAGAAATCAGTTTATAAGCAATTCCTAATATAACAAATTAAAAAACTTTTTACCTAAAATATCTCAGCGAATATACTGCCAATATAGTGCCATATACTATTAATTTTAAGTTTTGATTGCGATAATCTATATTGATCAAATATAGATTTAAGCTTTTTTACAGAAAAATAATTGAGTCACAGTTTTATAGACTTTTTAAAGAAATACTTATTCAATTTGTTTAAATATAAAAATAGCGTGAATATAAATATATATTTTTATTTTTCCATTTTTATCTAACATAGATATATAGAAAATGATTAAAACCTTATATAAATATAACTAATGCCATAATATAACTAATTGCTCGAGAAGCATTCCGCACGAAGAAACATGTTTTTATATTTTTATATATTATCTTAATATTGCAAATATATATATACATTGTGTTATGTAAATGTGCCAATATGATCAATATATTTGTTTTGGTCTGCTTATCTGTTTTTTTCTTTTATTGCGTCATAATTGTATAGCTTATATTTTTTAATTACACATAAATTTAAAATCGATTTTCTTATAATGAACACTACGTCATAAAATATTTTTGCGCTTAACTTTTAACTATTATTTTATCGTTTAAACAAGTTAATGAGCGAGTGTGTCAAATGTAATGTAGTAGAATAATAGTGCAAGAGAAGTTCGTCATATGTATTTATTGAAACACTCATGCGCGTTACGCTCAGACATTAAGAAAAGGAACACAGAGAAGGCCAAGCGTCAAAGATCACGTGACATCATAAATGATAAACGGATTTATCGTGCAACACTGCACAATCTGCTAGTAGTCGGTCGACAGCCATGAACCTCAGTTTCGAAGGAAAGCGCATTCTCGTGACCGGAGCTGGTCAAGGTTCGTTCGTGCCTTTATCTTTGTTCATATTTTTAAGAAAGATTTCTCTAAAATATTAATTTTTAAAATATAAAGATTTAAGTGTTACATACCATCCCGTGAATCTGCAATCAATTATAATTAGAAATAATGAGCTTGAAAATGGAGCAAGTCGGAATTATTACATGTTTTAGGAGGAAAAAATTGTTTTAATTGCAAATTTGACAATTGCCTTTTTCGTATATTTTAGTTTACAAACACAAAATATTAAGAAGAAGAAAGGTTTTTAAACATCACATATTTACAAGGTTATTTAAGAAACCGAATTTTTAGTTGCTCTCTACAATATGCTTGGAACAAGGAGAAGCATTTTTGCATCGAATCAACGTGATGCAAAAAAAACATTTTCGAATTTTTAAATTATTACGCTAATTGAATACAGAGACGCTTTATTCATTTATTTATATTAAACGCAGGCATCGGCAGAGAATTGGCTCTACGTCTTTCCAAGTATAAGGGACAAGTATTTGCACTTTCGAAGACGAAGAAGAATTTGGACAACTTGATTGCGGCCGACTCGAAAATTCAGCCGGTCTGCGTTGATCTTCAGGACTGGGATGCGACCCGAAAAGCCATTCAGAGCATCCTGCCGATAGATTTGTTGGTTAACAATGCCGGTGTCGCGTGTCTTTCACCTTTTTTGGACACGACACCCGAGGGATTCGATTTAACTTTCGAGGTCAATGTGAAGGCTGTGTTTAACGTGTCCCAGGTTGTCGCCAAAGACATAATCAAACGCAAAAGCAGCGGAAGCATTGTAAATATATCGTCGCAGGCCGGGCAGGCGGCATTGAAAGATCATGCTATTTATTGCGCGTCCAAGGGAGCCATTGACATGTTAACGAAGTAAGATTATTAATATTATAATAGTGATTATATTGTATATTTTTAATACTATAATAGTGATGCATGAAGCTTGATATTTAAATACTTGATGCCTTCATTTCAACAATCATTAGCATGAATGAACATAAAACGAAAGACACTCGTAACTTTGTTGTAAACTATATTATACGAATAAATAAGATATAGAAAAGAAAAAAAATAAATTTAAATGCTTTTAATAATCAGCTTGCTGACAATTCTCTGACAACAAAAAAATATTTGATTTATTCAAAAATTATTGAAAATAAAATCCACGTAAAAATAAAATAGAAGAATAATGTTGTGTTGTTGAACTTTATTTCGGAAGTTTTATTGGTAAAAAATGGGTGAATCAATGTTTAAATTTTTATAAATTGATTATGAAGAAATTACTAGGTGCGCAACTAAGTTTCCGGGTTTCACACATGAATGGCGCTAACGATACATGTAGTCGATATACATGTCTAAAGTTGTGTTTTTTATTAACTTGGACATCTGTCAACAATAACCAGTTATAATACCAACACATATCGCAACGCAAAAATTTTTTTTCTAACAATAAAGATGTCGAGTTTTGTGCCAACTAAACAGCATTTGCGGGAAGCTTTGCTTTTCTGCTTCAACTTGAAAGAAAATGCAGCTGAAGCAGGTCGTTTGCTTAAGAAAGCCTACGGCAAACATGCACCATCGAAAACTACCTGTAAAGATTGGTTTAAACGCTTCAGAAGTGGCGATTTCGACACTGAGGACAAGGAGCGCTCCGGAAGACCAAAAACATTTGAGGACGCCGATCTGCAAGCGTTATTGGATGAAAATGATACGCAAACACAAGACAACAACAACTGATAAATTT